TTTCTTCGTCTTGAGACTGTGGTCTGACTTGGTCGGTTGGTCCCCTGACGATTTGGCTTCATGAATCCAATTGAATTGATAAGCCCAGTAAATAGTGCATCAACATGTGCTTGTTTTGATTGCAGTATTCGATTCCCACAAAATTATTTCCTTTTAATTTTTTATTAGGCCTGCATTGTTTATGTCTATTTCCAGTGCGTATCCTCAGATAAAATTACCTTTGTATAGTGGTTTCTAAAGTTTCTTTTTTTGTAAGTCACAAGATTAATGATAATTTTATAGTTTAACAAGGAAACAGAGAAAAATTAAGCTAATTAAAGGTGTTTTAGCTGACAACATGCGAGGATACTTTTCAGTGAATATGAATATTTTGATGGCATATAAATTTCCACTTGCAGCGGATCCTCAAATAAAATCATCACAAGCAAAAACTTTGACTTACACTCAAGTTTAAGATCAAAATTCCTGGGGTAATACTTTGAGCATCGATCTCACAACTTAGACGTGATATACTTCACCATGCAACAGCCAATTATCAGCGTGACGGAAAAGAAATTTTGGTCATTTAAGTTTTTTTTTTTTGAATGAAAATAAGGCTTACAGCCCTATCATGTATATATAACCAAAAAAAGAGTTTGTACAAAAGATATCTGATTGTGATTTGGCTCGGGACTCCGAGTTGGAGGGTATTAGACCAAATCACCTAAAGATGTCTCTATGAAGAGATCTAAGACAAAACATCAAACAGAAACATCCAAAAGCAAGGTATAACCTGCTCGGAAACTGAAAAAAAAAACCAAAAGAGACAAGAACTGCTAACAAGGAGACCACTACCCATGAGGGCTAGGAAGACCATTGCTATCTGCACTGGATTCTGCAATATCGGGGAGGCCCGAGCTGAGGATGAGCTTGTTCAACTTATTAGCTTTCTTGGAAGAGGAGGCACCTGTCCAGAAAATAAGAAAGTGAACCGCCTTGTTGATGATATGTTGAGGCGTAGAAGACTGATTAGAGAAAAGAGAGTCATTCCTTGCTTTCCAAATAATCCAGCAAACCGTGGGAAAACTGTAGCCCCATAGAAGTCTAACGGATGAGTGGAGGGACTTATCAGAACAGATGGAGAAACAGTGGTTGATGCTTGTGGGGAGAGATACAATACCAATTTTAGATATCCACGGAGCCCAGATCTGCTTGGAGAAGATGCATGAGAGGAAAAGGTGGTCGTCGGACTCATGATCATCACAGAAGGGGCAGTTGGTGTCTGCCAGCCATCCCTGGGCTGCTAATCTATCTTTAGTTTTCAATCTGTTAAGACTGAGAATCCAAGTAAACAGCTGAACTTTGGTCATTTAAGTTTAACGGTAACCTATGGGCCGTGAGATCTTACTTAAAAGTAATGACTTCTTCATTTCATATATCCATTTTGACCCCAGTTTCTTCTTTACCCTCTAAACAATTAGATTTTTAGATTTGTCCATTCTTATCCCCGGAGTGATTTTTAGCGTTTACATACCCCTCAATTATGTAACTCCTTCCTTACTCCCCTAAGCTACCTTTGTCCCACACTGCCCAGTGAGCTTTCAATTCCTTCTCAAATTTTATTAAAAAATACCCACAGAGTAATAAATTAGAGGTAGTAACTAGATATTGAATTTAATAGTTTAGAGGGTAAATAGGGAACAATTCTACTAGTTCAGGGGGTGATGTGATATTGAAATAGTTCAAGGGATCAGTAAGAACCTAAGTTAATAGGTTAGAAGGCAGAGTGAGACAAAATATAGTTCAAGGGGCACCAGGATTTATTGCATATATCGTCTAAGTGGTGGTAGACCAACTATACTCTATAGCTCTATTGCCGGAGATAAACCCTCAAATGCTTTTTTTTCAAGTCTTAAAAGAATTCAAAAAAAGACACTGGGATATCTATCCGCACTCGAGCAAATAGTATAGGGGTCTATCTAGACCAATAGAACTACAAGGGGTCAATCCGCGATTAACCCTTTTGATTATCATATAGACTCTAGGGATATCCAAGCAAGATGCTGTCTAATGCACATAATATGACAAGAGAGTAATATAAATTAGTCTACAGACAAGAAAAAAAAAAAAAAAAATCCCACACAGCTTGCCCACAAAACGAAGGCTGACCCGGAGCATACAAAAACTTATACGGTTATCATACCCTTATTCTGATCCAGTTTTTGAATGCTTAAAATTATTATTCATTAAGGTTACAACTTCACACAAATCAGAAGCTCACATGTTATTCTTTTTGCTGCTTTATCCTTAATTTGGTTGTTTGACTTTAGTAGCTCAACACTCCCTGCTCAGCTGCATCCAAAACAAATTTATGTAAGAGAAGCACATTAGATAACTAAATAAATTGTGTTATCCAGATGAAAAAGATGCACCAAATAGATAACTAGCTGTAGTTTCGATATCAAGGTGGGCATTATATGAAAACCATGTTCGTGTGCTTTCAGAAAATACTATGTTGACAAAAGGATGTGTGCAGAGGAACAAACTGGAGATGAAGGCAGAGGTAAGGAGATGTAACAGTAGGAATAAAGTAAGGTAACAAATATCTAGCTTCCCAAGTTGAAGCCGAAGGCGGTGGTGAAAAAATTAGGGTAACTAAAATTGAGATCACAAACACTCTTGTGTCTAATCCTAGCATAAGCAACTCAGGATTGGTTTAATGCAACTATAATAAAGTTCAGTGTATTTTCCAATTGGCCTATTGTTGTATTGGGTTTATAAACTATAGCAGGATGAGTATTAGTTAGTAGACATGGAGATATTTGAGGCATTGAGTTCACAAATGTAGCCGGGAGTAGGTGTTTTTACGGCACAAGCTACTACCTCTGTAACTGAGCTGCGTGATCTACTTTCAGCATAACAACCATAAAAGTGGATTCCATTTCTTCTAAGAAGGTAGAGGAAAGAGAAAAAATGAGGGTTATACTTAAACAAATATTACATAAGGCTAAAAAGTTGGCAGTTAGCATATTTTTAAGGAAGTATAAAACTCTCCTATAATAGATGCAACAAGTGGGATATAAATGATAGTCATGTACATATGTATGATATGTTATCAAATAGACATTGCAGGTAATTTCTATAATTATTACTTCTTATTTCTAGTCAAATCTTCTATTTCTTAAAACGACACTTGTTAATGTCTATGGGTATAACGTTCTAGAATGACACGATGAGAAAAAGAGATCTTAGAGTAATGCGTGTATAATCATAGTTACATGAGCAAAAAGAAAAAGAAATAACTTGCATATGGAAATTACCTGCACCAAAATGTTAAATTTTGCCTGTAAACGATAATATTCATTCTTAACCGCATTTAATGCTCTAAAGCACCTGCTACAATAAACAGTACCACTGGTTAGCGTCCTGAGACAAACCAGTCCTTAAGACCAACATCATCTGTATATTTAAATGAATCCCAACCTTATAGGCTTTACAGCTAAAGCAATATTCATTTCCATCATTCAGAACAAGTTGCCGTGATATTTCATTGTCAAATTCCATCTCATGCCCAAGCACACACCCAACACATATCCCGTAATTCTCTAAATTTTTCTACGTAGGTATCGAGCATAGCATAATAATACCAAACACAAGGTTAAAGAATAAAAAATGTTATTAATCCTCAAGAGATGGATCCCCTTTATCACTTCTACGCAAACTGGAAAGGGGAAAAGAAGCTTTCACTGAAGTATCGAATAATAATAATGATAGAAGGCTATTTCTGCAAACTTATCTATACCCAGGTAAGAGGTTACAGTATTACATTGTAACTGCTATTTGTACGACATATCAACGGGAAAATATTTCAGTTTTCAGTTTTTCATCTGAAGACTGCATAAAGCTTGAATTTAAGATCAAAATTCCAATTTAATCATGAAGTTCTATGGTGTGTCTAATATTACTTATGTAAGTGTTTACTTAAGATAAGTGTTTTCATGACTTTTAAAGCAAACAAATGCTTTCATGTAAATTCAGATGTTTGATAATACATTCAAAAAATAGGACATTTATACCAAGCACAGAAAAAAAATCTGTGGTCGCAGAAGCTAGAATATTTGGCTTATTTGGATCAAAGAAGCAGAGACACTGCCCATATAATCATTCATTTTCTCTCTTTTCTCTCTCTTAGTTCATTTTTATCTAACACAATCCTCGTGAATTTGTCTACCACCGAATTTCTTCTCTTTGTTTCTCTCACATTGACCAAATATAATCTCTCTCATGCATCCATCATCCATCCCTATCCAAACTTATCACAATAAATCTATTTTATATTTAATTTTCCATAGTCGCTTAAACTTATAAAAGTAACAAACATCTTATCAAAATAAATTAAAAACTCTCATTGAATCTCGTTGAAAAAATACGTATGGATAGTCTTCCTACATAAGGCCTCATCTGCAAGCAAAAAAGTAGAGTCAAGCACACCTAGCCTAATCGGAAAAGGTATCCAAATTAACGTCGACTAGGTAAACACAATGCGCAACCACTAATTTAGAGTAGTAACAGAAAAATGGTAAATAGAATAGTTAAGAGATCTTATAGAAATTATAAGATTTATGTGTGCTAGGTAAACTCTAACTTACCCTTGTTTGTCATTTTGCTCACAGAATTGGCGAAAGTGCATGCAAGCCACCATGATATTGTGCGCCCCAATGCTGATTTAGAAAGTCATTTGAAAAGAGAAGGAGCAAAAGAAGCAAACATTAGCAAAATGAAGAACCAACACTCCACATGGACATTAAGCATTAAAGCCAAAAAATTTTAGAAGGGAAATATTGCATTTGATCCAAAAAAGTTTTATAACAATTGAACAAGGTATATCCTTAGCTATGATCCCTTATAAAGTATTAGAATAATGAGTAGGTATTACAAGAACATAACAAAAACAACTACTGCAGCAGATATGACATTTCTTTAGCATACATGGTTCGTGTCAGTGTGCCTATGATTAATTGCCAGGTATATATTGGACTCCATTGGGAGTTGGGAGATATTTCTGTCAGCTTAAAATTGAATTATGAATCTCCATTTGATGATATTAAAGACGCCTCTTGTTTGCCTTAAGCTATACCTTCGACCTCTGCATGTTGTCTCGAGTAATCCTACCCTTGATAGTAGTTCATGTTAACAAAGGCAGTGTAATTAACTGGATCAATCGAAAATTGCAACTAGCATAATGGAGAACTATAGCATCATGCGGATTAGCAAGGCACAATTAATACAAACATCGCTTGATGAGTAGGTATACAATTTTCTCTTTGAATCTTGTTACAACTGAGCATATAGAGAAGAAATTGTTTCAAGCTTTCAGCAACAACTACAGTGCAACATTTCAACCATTATGGTTGCATCACTAATATATTCTGCTATAGGTTATTGCTCTCTCATATCTTGCTTCCTCTAAAAGCTAAATTTAGAGCTAGTTACCCACAACAGTATGTTTTTTTTTGGGTTGGAAATTCATGCATGGCAGAACTCAGTGGATTTAAACTTATATTCCCCCAAACTTTAGAAGATTCGCATGTAAAGTCCTAATAATAGTTAGCCTGGTGAAGAGAAAACTATAAGAAATTTGCAGTAGCTTCAAATCAAAGTTATTGATGAATGAGATAAATCAATTTAACCACAAGCTTTCTACTTTTTTTTAACTTCTCAATATAACACTGTCGAATCAACTTTGCACACTGCAACAATTGGATATCCTTTTATATTAGTCATGATTAGTCAATATTGCGGTACATTTGTCATTATTAGCCAAAAACAGCAATGACATATTTTGGCTAGATCAGATTTCCATCTTAACACTTGCTATGATAAGCTTAATACATATAAACACCAGTCGATACTTCAAAGTTTGATGGTTAAAATTTTCTTAACAAACTATGCGAGCGGTGCACTGCGTAAAGAGGGTAATGTCTAGCAGTGTCTATCTGTCTATATGTTTAAATTATGTCAGTGATATGGTAAGATAATAGATATACTTGTGTTAGATAGTTTTTATTACATGTGTCATGTTCATCCATTCCTTGGTATCTATTGTCCTCTAATAGCTAATGCATGGTAGATATGCTCAATTGGTTCCAACGTTAGTCTCCAACGATCGATGTCCTAAATTCTACTACGGCACATGAGAAAAAATTGGAGAATAGAAATAATTTCTCAAAGAACAAAAATTTAAGGTTGCACTATAGTGTTCAACATGCACTACTTTTACCACTTGAAACAAAACAAGTGTGATGGCCATCCTTCCCATGCGCATTATTTGTATAAGCTCCTTATAGTACATTACCTGATAAACATGCATGTATTATTTTGAAAAGAAGATGCCATTGTATTAGACCTATAAAATTTTCCATTTTGGAAATATTTGACGTGAAATATCTTATAAAATTATACCCTCTAGATCCTACAAAATAGTAATATTTCTTAACAGATCAAAAATCTCTACAGAGTATTGAAGATTCTAAAGCAATTCTTTTAATTATAAAAACCAACAAATTTAAATCTGATGCATTACTAATTCATTCTTGTAGTTTTCAGATTATCGTCATAATTATGCACGCCTCTTCCCAGGAAAAAAAAACAATACGTTTTTTTAGCATTAGTCAAAAGTCAAGACTCAAGCGAACTCCCCCAGATGACTGATGAAGCTTTCATCATCGGCTATTCAAATCACATCACCCCTTTGTGAGTTGGAGCCCATTTCTATTTATAGGCTAAAACGGATATGTCACTCTAAAAGCAATTGATACCTCCTAACCATTTTAAGATGCAACTACCCTCTTTTCTCATAGCCAAGTAAATGGAATGTCCATGAACCAAATATTTATGAAATTTCAATCTTTCAACTATGATCTATCTACATGAACATGTCACCATGTGAATGTGCATGTTCGTGTGCATGCACTTGTGGGTTTACCAAAACATAGAAGCCCCTCTTCCATCTCTCAAATTAAGCTGAGCATAAAATTATAAATTCAATATTTAGAGAGTAAATAAATGAGACAAAATCAAAATTTTTAATCAGATCATAATTTTTACCACAAATTCTTACGTGATTTAAATTTCTATTAGGATGGAATTTACTTTAAACTTAAACATACTAATGTACCTACTTATTTATATTTCCACCGACAGCATGCAAAGCCCTAATGAAATACAAAACCAAAGACGTGGAGTTCAAGCCAAATAAGCCAATTAAATTTCAATTCAAATATCATAGTAACTACTAGCTGAGGGGTTGTTTTTAGATGGATCTGGAAGAAGTCCGCAGAAAATTTGGGACACACGCCACCATCTGAAATCTGTCAGATGGGTTTCCTTTGACCAAGTTTCTCTTTTGTTTTGCAGATTTGGGAAGGAGCACAATGGCTCATGTTGTTAGAAATCCTGAGAAAATGAGAGGATTTGGGAAAGATTTGTTAAATGTGGTCCCACTACATCCTAAGAATACAAAACAAATTACTAAAATTCAGAAAATATGAAAAAAAATAAAGTAACTCTTAAATATTCAAAACAATAAAAAAGTAAAAATACTAATATATTCCATTTTAAATACAACATAAATAATAAGCGGGCCCAAAAATCCCTTTCTGCTTTTATCTATTTCTTTACAAATACACAAGAATTCTTTGATTCTCTTTTCAAAGCCTAACTTTAAGAGTTACTTTGTCATAAAGCTAAAATGTAGGATAGGCAATAATTCTTTGAATTCCAACATTGTCATAGATCCAAAATACAAATCTTAGCGCCAAACAGCACCTCATACACCTATACGTGGCTATACATAAAGATATATCCATAATTGAGCAGTAAGAAACAATCAAAAGCAGGTACCAGTCTATCGTACAAACTCAATATTAATCATCAGCAACACAAAGTAAACAATTTAACAAGAAAACGGATAAAACCTTGAGCTGCTCCCTTTTAGCTGATGAACGAAAGAACCCACCTTCTGGAAGTCCACAACTGGCTGATCTCTGCACACATAAATTCTCAAACATAAAATCCAAAAAAAAAAAAACCAAAAAATCAACAACTTCACACCAAAATTACCCACAAACTTACATCAAGCTGCTCAGCTCTGAGATCATCCTCTCAGAATCATCACAAAACAGCTTAATCACCTCAACAAGGAATCCACCCCCGTCCTCTTCCAGCATCAGCAGCTGATTAAACTGCTGATCCAACAAACCCTAGAAATCGACAAACCCAAATCAAACACCGAAACCCTAATTTAAAAAAGAAAACAAGCAATCAGCACCCACCTCCGCGATCATCGAGTCGGCAAAGGCATCGCGGCGCTCCTTAGGGTTCATCGACGCCATTACCGATCGCGAGATCGAGAAGAGGGGAGAAGGGGTTTTGTAGGTGAAGAGGGGAATCTGAGAGAAGACCGAGGTTCAAGTATTTAAATTAATTAATGAGTAATTAATTCTTTTGGTGCTTCCTCTCCTTTTATGAGTGGCGAAGTGCAGAGAACTGAAATCGGATTCGCTGGGTGCTGCCATTTTTTATCTTTTTTTTTGTTTTCCTTTTTCGCCCTTTCCTTTCCTTCGAAAGGTTGATGCTTGCTTTTCTCGTGGGGCATTAAATTTTTTTTTTTTTTTAAATTGATGTCTATCAAGAGTATCAATCGGATTTTAGGGAGCTTGCTATCGCAACAACTGATCTCCAGTGAGGATTTTCTCCTGCTCTTTGCTTTGTCACAAGAGTTTGTCGAATAGTAGTCCCTTAAATCTTGGGTAGATAACACGTAGGTCCCCCGTAGCTTCGCTCATTTTGTACTTAAACACCCTGATTTGTTTTTTTACAGGGTTTGTATACCTTAACTTGTTCAAAATTGACACGTTAATATTGTCGTCTATCGTGCAAAAGCGAAAAATAAGATGAAAACATTGAGATGAAAATTTTTATGTTCACGTTGATAAAAAAAATATTAATATATTAATTTTAAATAACTTAGAATATATAAATACCGTGCAAAAAACAGGTGAGGGTTGAAAGTGAGCACAACTACGAGGTATTTAGGTTTTTTTTTTGGCTTAAGATCTCTCATATTTTGAAGATATTCCCTCAAATGATAGGAATTAATATTAGGTCGTAATACTTAAAAAAGCAATTTTAGTGTCGTGAGTGATTGACTGATTTCGAAATGTTAAAGAGTTGAGGGAATAATATCTGAAAACCCCAATTTATAAAGGAATCGTAATTGTACAGAGTTTGTGTGACTTAGTCATGTCATCTAAAATTTAACAGCAACAGAAACAGGTTATGCGGCGTAAACACCTATTCAAAGTGTCATAGTGAAGCGATCTTGTAGGATTTTGACACATGCTTCGCACGTGTAATCGTCATGTGTGTTACTTGTTTTGACAATCACGGTTTTTAAAGGAATCATGTTCGAGAGAAAGAATATGAACAACTTTTCAAGTCGGTGGGGGGATGTTTGCAGAATCTTATCAGAATTATCTAACACAATGAAAATTAAAATTTCTAAATTGCGCTCATATCTTATCCATGAATGGCTCTAAAACATTTATAGCCTTTTCCATATATTCTAAAGAAAATTGTATTTTCAAAGAAAGAAATGTTGGCACAGAAATGGAAAAAAAGTTAACCAACATAGTTTGCCACCTTATTGGCATTCCAAAACATATCCCCAGTAGATTAAGATCCTCTCCGGTTCCAATGCCACAAAATAATGAAGAGACAACTATTTGTATACCAATAAGTGATTGTTTAATGCACTGGTGTCATATATGAATCTTGAGTGTATAACAGAGTATAGTATATGGTTGGTGTCATGTATCATCTTGAGTGTATAACAACGAGTATAGTTCATGGAGATATAATATTGTTATCTTTGAAATCAGTACTGTCCTACGTAATCATCCATGAAAAATCAATGATTCTAATTAAAAGTAGTTAAAAGTATCCAAATCCTATGTCAAACTAGGTAAAAAAAAATTAAACATATGTGATCACTATCTTTTTTTTCCCTGTCGTTGTGGGGTTTCTAAGACATTGATCTAAGAAAACATATCATTATTATAAGATGAGTTTTTTCATAGAAACCACCTCTAAAATAGAGGCATTTCATAGGGACCACATTTTATTTTCAATTTATAGACCACATTTAAAGTATTTTTGGTTCCGGTCAACCATCTCAGCCGACTTTACATCAAGTTTTTTTAGTCTTAATATAATAACTTAGTTGGTAAATACCAAATATATTAAAGAGATGGTTCTTTATTAAGGTTAGGTAGTGTCAGTTATCGGAAAAATTTAAGTAAAAGGTAAGCCCAGGTGATTAATTGCAAAAAAAACACTTTAAAATGATTTATATATCATATCATATCATATCTTTTAAAAGCACGAGTTCGGAAAAATCTTTCCTTGGTCAATATTACCCTTCACTTTTTTAAATACTAGTTGAGATACACGTGCAATGCACGTGGTTGAATATCATGATTATTTAAATTGATAACAATAGAGTAAAAATAAAAAAAATAAAGTTTTTTTAGATTGATCATCAACTCAATAATCTCTCTCTTAAATAAAATATTGTCATTGCTTCCTTCAACCCAGACTGTGATCACATGATCTACTATTTGTGAGTTATAAATACATTAACTTAATACAACACCTCTATTTATTAGTATCTTGAAGTCTTCAAAAGATGGGTGATCATTCAATTCGTAAAAGAATTTTACATATGAATTTACTTGTAATATATCATTAAACTTTTAGTTGTGGTTTGACTTATATTCACATTAACTTTTAGTTATTGTTTTACTCATATTTATATTATATAATATTCTTATTCAATTTTATAGCTCATTCTCTGTATCATAGAAGTAAAATTAAAAGTATGAAGAATTATTTTCTTACGAAATTAAAACAGAAAGATTATGATATATTTCGCTATGTGCTCTAAATATAAAAAAAATTCTTTGATACAAGGTCCCTATTAAATCTTACCCTAAACGATGTGAATTAAAAATGCAATTATAACTCACTTGCATAGGAGAATTGTATTGTATATAGGATACATAACTTATATGAAATATCCACATCTGCTAAGTGGATTTTGTTGTTGTGAAAGCAACATGTTAGAGGCTTGTATTCAAACTTTTTGACTCTATAGAAGACACAAGAATTTCAAGTGCATAGCTTATATATCGTAACAAACATATTGATTTATGAAGAATTTTTTCCTAATAACGATATTATTACAACGATATTACTATATATGATATTTTTAAATAAATTATAAAGTATATATATGGAAACCTCTATGCTTATAGTCAGTAGTTGTGCTCCACAAAATATGTTAACTTTATATTATAGTTTGCTATTTGTAGTATTGTTGGCAATGTCATTACCTTCCTTTTTTTATCTTATTATTCATATTTTTCTTATGTAAGTTCTCTTTTGTTAATCACTCAATTGGTTATATTTAGTTTTTATAATATCAGAGGTTAAAATATTCTTTTCTACTTAAAAAGTGTTGATATAAATTTCTTAAAAATATATACACATAGTAGCAATAATATGTACATCAGTTCAACTCAAACATTGACTTGAAGCCATTTAGAGTAAGGTCTTTTTTATGCTAAAATAGTGATATAGTGATTACAGAGTTTAAAAGTCAAAGAAGAAATTTCTACAAAGAAAACGTAATTTAATGTGTCAAATTAAGAAGTAATTTGTAAATTATACATTGGCAATGCAGATAGGTATAAAAAATAATGTATATATCTTTATAAGAACTTCATAGTGAGTGACCAACTATAATCATCCTAATTTTAGCATAATTAATTATTATTTTAGTTACTAATTTTATACGCTTAGCTATGAAATAAATCTCCAACAAAAATAAAAATTAAGATTGTATTATGCTGTAGGTAAATAAATAAATGTTATTAGAGCTTCTCTTTATATTAAGTTTAAAAATAATAATTTAAATTATTAAACACTAAATATTAGCTCATGTGAAAAAGTAAAGTAATCTATGGTCTATATACGTTTATAGTCAATCAATCAAATATATTAAATTTATGATGACGACTATCAAAATTATATGGTGGATCACATTAAATATAATTTATAAAAAAATAGTACGTTAAATCAAAAACTTTTTAACCACTATATAGATTATCTAAAAAAAATTACATATATAAACTATATTGCCTAGGAATAGTGATGTGCCACTTAACTATGGTCTAATAATCTTATCATCATTGTTTCTTTCAATCCAAACTGGTCTACTATTTGTGAGTTATAAACACATTAATCTAGTACAATATCTCTATTTATTAGTATCTTGAAGTCTTCAAAAGATGAGTGACCATTCAATTCGTAAAGGATCTTATATGCAATTTTTGCATATATAAATTACACTATCTAGGAACAGTGATGTGTTGTACACTTAACTATAGCCTAATTATATAAATTACACTATCTAGGAACAGTGATGTGTTGTACACTTAACTATAGCCTAATAATCTTAAAAACGACTTACTCTTTAATATCATAATTAATTGACTTATTTATGCATTACACTGAAAACATAATAAAAATTTAGAAAACTACAAAAGAAACACCCTAAAAATTTTAAAAAAGTATAAAAAACACCCTAATAATTTGTAATTTATAAATACACAAAACTATTAAACATTACATTGAAATAAAGAAATTACAAAAAATCATTGAAATTTTTTAAACTTTGGAGAGGTAATTTACAATGTGCTAAACTTTAAGGATGTTTTTCTATAAATTTAAAATTTAATAGATTTTCAATCATTTATGTTCTTTTTAAAAAAGTTATGGATAATTTTGACCATGAAATGTTTTTCCTAAATCTATACTTTTAAAGCGAGTATGATATTTTTTGTCAAATTTTAGTTTTCTAGGGGTTGTTAGTAATTTCGTATATTCATTTTTGTGTCCATAGGTTAGAAATTCTCATAGTTTTTTTTATAAATTATGAATTTTAGGGGCTTTTTGTAATTTTTTAAACTTTTAAGCCTTTTCTACAGATTGTAAATTATTTATAGATTATTTATAATTCCTATATTTTTAATTTACTAATAAGTTTGAAATTCTCAGGGTGTTTTCTTTAAATTATAAATTATGTAGGGAATATTTATAATCCCTATATTTTTAATGTACTATTAGCTTAGAAATTATTAGATTTTTATAAATTTACAATTCTGAGGGTTTTATTTTATAATTTGCAAAAAGTTTAGAGTGTTATTACAAATTTTAAAAAATTTTGGGGGTTGTTTGTGTTATTTGTAGGGTTTTAGTGTGCTTATAAGTTTGAAATTTTGATGGTGTTTTTTAATAAATTTTGAATTTTTAAGGGTGTTTTTGTAATTTTTAAAACTTACAAGATATTTTCTCCAAAGTCAAAAAACTTTTAGTTTCTAGCTAGCATATATTTTTTAGATTTCTCACTGAATTGAAATAAATAAAATTTATAATTTTTTAAGATGTTTTAATAAAATTTTAAATTTGTAGGGGTGTTTTTGTAATTTAAAAAAATTTGAGGATTTTTTTTACAAAGTCTAAAAATTTTTAGGTGCTGGCTAGCATATGTTTTTTAGATTTCTCTATGAACTGAAATAAGTAAATGATTTGAATTATATCAGACGTAT